GATGGATGGATGGATGGATGGATGGATGGATGGATGGATGGATGGATAATGGTGACACTCAGCAAAGTTTCTCAAACACTAAGTGAATTGATTTTAGAAATGCGCAATATATACAGTACACGGTAGAAATGATAGACATGATAGAGATCTGTAACCGCAGTAATAAGTGTCTGATATAAAATCAGAGTTGTCAGACTTAATTGTTACTTTTTTTTTGTTGAAAACTGTAAAGTCCTTTCTTTGAGAGCTAAGTAGTGAAGCTAAAAGCTAACTATGACCGGCTTGCCATACTCTTATTCGGACGCATGCGCAAAACGCTGTGTTCCGTCAAAAGATGTTTTTTTTTTCTCGTCAAAGTTTTGTTGGTCAGATTTAGAGAGTGCATTTGAGCTAAAAAAAAAGAAAGAAAAAAGGGTTAAACCTGCTCTCTGATCTGTGAAAAGAACGCATGTTGTGTGATTTTACTGCAAGACCCTCTGGTCAAAGCCAAAGAGGAAACTGGTCGCCATTTTGTGTCAGCTCTCCTTAAAGTGGAAGGAGACGTCCACTGGAGGGTTGGAGGGTGAAGTGTTTTCAGTGTAAAATGCTGCTCTGTTGCTGTTCATTTCTTATGTGAGAATACTGGAAACTGTTGAGTTATTAACATATTATTTTGTTTAAAACATATGGCTAAAACTACATTTGATATATTTTGCACTACAAGAAAGAAGCCTAATACTTGATTTGTTTATTATTTAAAACCTCTCCGGACCTAGTAGTGGAATTTTCTAAATTGAGATTATTTTGTGGTATAGCAGTTTTCAAAATAAATGATGGCAAAAGGACACCTTATACTTTTTTTTTCCATTCCTATTGCAAGTTTTATAACAAAAACATATCGTGATATATATCGTTACCGCCACCCATCACAATACATATCGTGATATGAACTTTATGCCATATTGCACATCCCTAATTGATATCTAAAAACTTTTATAACATTTAGTGCAAACTGCCTGTGAGCTATTCATCAGTTAAACAATTAGCACATTATATTCTCCAAACAGTTTGGCCCATAGTAACACTAAAGCAAACACATGGACTTAATAAAGAGTGGGAAGTAGGTAATCGTCATAGCACCATGTATAGTTTACACCCCAACATTTTTAAATCACATGAAACAGGAGTGTGCACATATGATTTATGGCTATGTACTGTTTGAATTAAAGTCAATGATTTTCCCCCCATTTCACACACTCAAAATGGAGTCGACTTGTCTCAGAAATCAACATTTCCCCCTTCAGAAAAAAAGCCCATACATCTGTTTCACACATACAGCTCGAGCCGCATTCTTCTGCGTCTGCCAAAAGCTTTTAGGGATGCACAGCACCCGATGCCAGAGTTGGTGTAGCCGTTTGCCTGTGCTGAGAGGGAGTGGAGGTTTTTAAACACAACGCAGTCATCAATCTGGTGTACCACTCAGACCGTGACAGGGGCAAACGTTTGTCAAAGCGTATGGAGAAAATAATAATCAAAGTAGAGCCACACCGGCAATGGTGCAGTGATGATATGCACTGTGAAAATTAGACTGTTTGATTTATTAAGTACTCATAAAAACATTCATCTTTGTGTTTTGACAGTTCTTTCACCTTTCTATCTCCCTGCTAAGTTAAGGAAAATGTCACAAGAAACAGACAGAAGACAGACTTCCACTCAACCTGCAGGAACTAAACTCCTCTCTAGCAGTGAAGTACAAATATTGTCGGAGTCTCACGTTAAAAACTACACTAAGGCACCCAAACATGATTTATAGCCTTTCTGGGTATTATTAAAGGTCTGAATGCAATTCTAAACAGATTTGATGGTCCCTGCCCTGCAAAGGACCTCAAATGTTCAGAGGTGAACGCCCTGCAGTCAGAAACACTCACACAGTTTATGCAGAAATGGCACAATAAAAATCACTGTGGAGACTTTATTTTTATGAATGTGTCACAGATTATTACTGACCTAAAAGGCAGTAGCTGATGGAGAAGTTGCTGTTTACCATTTTAATGTCCCGCAATGGTTCTCAGTTTTCTTGCATGAGTTGCAAAGAATCAGTCTTGTTGCCTGAGTTTAGAACAGCTCAAAAAAAGAATAAAACTCTCTCATACAGAAATCATCCAAGTCTAACAAAACATATGACAAATTAATAATAATCGTTTTAAAACTGGTCCAAATCTGCCTCGCTTCATTAAATCATAAACGTCTCAACTTCTGTTCATACAGTTGTTGGCAAAATGCCATTAAAATAAATAAATAAATAAAACACCAACTGAGGTCACCAAAGTGAATTCAGTCTAAAAATAATTAAACCACCACGTTCCACAGAATTGCTTAGATTTTGCACGTTAAAAAAAAAAAAAAAGATTTGGATTTGGGCAAGTGTGGCTGACAAAAGGTCATGACCTGAAGGCCTTGTTGTAATCAGACGAACCAAATTCCTTTCATGACCTGGTGACTTGCTGGAATCAGTTTTTAAAATCTTTTAACTGAAGGCAAATAAATCAGCTTTAGAAGTTACACAAAACATGTATAGAATATTTTAAACTTATCAATGTCTGTTTTACCATGTTAAAAAAATACATTACTTGCATGGGGACCCTAATTGTTCCAGAAAATGCCGGCATTTAAACTGCATTGACAGACCTGTGACCTTTGACCTCCGACTAGAGACTTGAGAACCAGACAACCCCACATATGAGCAGATAGCAAAGTGTCTTCATTTCTTCTTGGTCGCAGTGGCCTCTGCGGTTCAGCTATATTCTGTTACCAGCCACTGATCAGACGGCGGTGCAGCTATTCTCTTTACATTTGATTACATTTGAAGCGCGCTGTAATCCTTCCCTAGCTGTTTCCATCGCTGCGAGCCAGAGAACAGACAAAACTCTCATTGTTATCATCTTGGAACTGCCTCAGAGGCAGTGATGAACTTGTCAAGTTTGCAGAAACAATGAAAACATTTTTAAAAAATTTAAAAAAAAAATTTAATTGGTGTAATTTTCTTGTCCATGACAAGTAAAATAAAAGTGAAGCTATTTCTGTTTGGACTGCCAACGAAAGCATGAAACTTCTTACACAACATCAGCTGCATGTTGTCTCTGAGAGATAGAGCATAAAACTAGTCATTAAATAATCTATAATTTACAAGGAAAGGAAACACAAAACAAACTAGAGAAATTGTTTTTACTGTGAAAATGTATGAATTGGACTATAGCACCTTTCTATCTGATCAAGATACTCAAAGCGCTTTACAACACAATCTGTGCCTCATTTACCAATTACTCTACTAGATTTATACAAAGAATAATCAGTGCTTCATCACATTCATACACCAATGGGACACACATCGGAGGCAATGAGGGGTTCAGTGTCTTGCCCAGGGACACTTCGACATGTGACTGCTGGCGGAATCAAACCCCTAACTCTTGCGTTGGAGGACGACTGCTCTAACCACACAGCACTAATGCTCTAAGAGCTGAATGACGGGTAAAATTGGTTAACGAAATAGTTAGTTAAATCAGGCCAAACTGAAGCTAAAATCAGCAAAACGGTACCTAAAACTTAAATTTTCAAAACTGTAACTAAAAGTTAAAAATTACTCAAATTCTAGCAAAAAAACTTGCACAGTAGCTAAAAACTAAATGCAGCTAATCCATAAATGAGCATATAGACAAAAATAGAGGAAGTATAAGTAGATTTCAGAGAATGATGTTTCTGAATACTGAAGAAATTCCAATGCATTTCTATGGTCAAATCTTTGTAAATAAAGTTAAATATTTAAATATATATATTATTACAAATACTAAAGTGCAAAATGCATTAAACTGTCATATTAACGTTAAAAAACAAGTAATATTTTCTACTTTCAAATGTCTGAACAGGGTGAATAAGGGCCTTCATATATCCTTACTCAATATTCCACCATTAAACTTCATGTAAAGAAGTCATGGCAAACTCATTCCCTTCTTACTCCGGGCGTAAAAAGAGAGGCCCAAAGATAGAGAGAGAGATGGGAAGAGAAGGACCATCTTAAAAGCTCTGCGTTCATGTGCTGCTCAGCCTCGTTGTAAATAACAGTCAAAAGCATTTAGGGAGGACAGAGGTAATCCAAACAAACCCAGAATATCTTCCGGAGATAATTCATAACTAACCCATCAGGACTGGGAGGATCCTTTTTAGACATGCACACTCAAAAAGCCAGGACCCCAAAAAGAAAGAAAAGAAAAATATGCATGCCTTCTATGAGCAGCTTCATAAACATTTCAGATCTCATTTCAACTCAAATCAGTCACACTTATATTAGTCAAACAGCTGTGCCAGGAGGCATTGTTTGCATTTTAAAAGTTACACCACACAAAGACACAGACTTAGGAAAACCAAGGCCTGACAAGTGTTTTAAAAAAAGTGTTAAAGTTATCTTATTTCATTAACAGCCATTAGTTACTTCAGCCAAACCCAAATGTGAAATACTAATTGTTTGCCTAACAGATAAGCCATTATACATCCTTATCTGTAAATGTATTTGCATTTTTAGAGGCTTAACTGAGCAGAGCCCCCACCTTATTGTCTGCAGGGTCTCACCCCGTGCGGAGGCTTTCAGGGAGACCAAAGGGCCATGATCCAATAATGCAAAGATCATTAACATGAGAGGAGAAGCTGACTGATGGCGCACAGGACAGCAGCAGCAGTGTGGGGGACACGAGACATAAACATGATGATGGACTGCCTCCAAAACGAGTTCCGAGTCAGAAGCAACAAGCTGCAAGTCCACAAGACTTTAAATGTTGGTACATGTTGAGTCAGATGAAGCACAGGCAGCAGGAATGGAGACAGATCTGAGACTCACCAGACGCGCTCAGGTCCAGGACGCTCAGGAGGAGCGGAGCGATCCAAAGCGCGCAGGCTGGACATCTCCAGAGGCGCAGGCTCACCGCTGCCCGACGTGGATCCATTCCTCCGGCTTACCCGCTTTTTCACATCCAACAATGTGCACAATGGAGCCCTTCCAAAGATAAATCAGTTTTTAAAAAATGAGCGACTCAAACTTCAGAATGAGTTCCTCCTCCGTTTCTAAGCGCACCTCTGGATTAAAGAACTCCTGGTTTCCCTCCTCACAGTCCCTCTCACTTTGTCCAGGCTGAGGCTCCTTCTCCAAATGAGCACAGCTCCTTCCAGCAAACTTCAGAGGTCTGAGTTGGAGCCACAGGAGCCACATGGTTGTGTTTGTGCGCGCGTCGCCACCGTGTGTCCACTGAAGGAAGTGGTCCTGAAACTAATCCATGAGGTTTATTCAACTTTTGTTCATCCTTTGATCAAAATACAGATGCTGGTCATAAAATTAGAATATCATGAAAAAGTTGATTTAGTTCAGTAATTCCATAAAAAAATTGAAACTTGTATAATATATTCATTCATTAGACACAGACTGATATATTTCAAATGTTTATTTTTATTTTTTTATTTATTTACCCTTTTTTATCCAGGTAGGCTCATTGAGCCAAGAGAACTCATTTTCAAGAGAGACCTGTTTAGGGAGTGGATGGTGGGGGTTAAGGGCCTTGCTCAGGGGCCCAGGGTGAGGCGAATGAGGGTGGAGGCAGGTGTGGGTGATTCACCTTTTCCACTCACATTTTAATGTTGACAGGAGGTGAACCTGCGACTTTCCGATCACAGGCCCATCTTCTAACTGCTGCGCCACCACTCCCCCCAAAGTTTATTTATTTTAATGTTGGTGATTATAACTGACAACTAATGAAAACTCCAAATTCAATACCTCAGAAAATTAGAATATTGTGAAAAGGTTCATAATTGAAGACACCTGGTGCCACACTCTAATCAGTTAATTAACGCAAACACCTGCAAAGGCCTTTAAACGGTCTCTCAGTCTAGTTGTGTTGGCTACACAATCATGGGGATGACTGCTGACTTGACAGTTGTCCATAAGATGACTATTGACACCTTGCACAAGGACAAGAAAAAAGAGCATTGTTAAAGAGGCTGGCTGTTCACAGAGCTCTGTGTCCAAGCACATTAATAAAGAGGCAAAGGAACGGAAAAGATCTGGAAGGAAAAAAGTGTACAAGCTGTACGTATAACCGTACCTTGGAGAGGATTGTGAAACAAAACCCATTCCTAAATGTGGGGGAGATTCACAAAGAGTGGACTGCAGCTGGAGTCAGTGCTTCAAGAACCACCAAGCACAGATGTATGCAAGACATGAGTTTCAGCTGTCGCATTCCTTGTGTCAAGCCACTCTTGAACAAGAGACAGTGTCAGAAGTGTCTTGCCTAGTTGTTTTCTGAGGTCCAAGGTCAACGCAGCCGTCTACCAGAAAGTTTTAGAGCACTTCATGCTTCCTGCTGCTGACCAACTTTATGGAGATGCAGATTTCATTTTCTAGCAGGACTTGGCACCTACACACAGTGCCAAAGCTACAAGTACCTAGTTTAAGGACCATGGTATCCCTGTTCTTAATTGGCCAGCAAACTGGCCTGACCTTAACCCCATAGAAAATCTATGGGTTATTGTGAAGAGGAAGATGTGATACACCAGACCCAACAATTCAGAAGAGCTGAAGGCCACTATCAGAGCAACCTGGGCTCTCATAACACATGAGCAGTGCCACAGATTGATCGACTCCATGCCACGCCACATTGCTGCAGTAATCCAGGCATAAAAGAGCCCCAATTAAGTATTGAGTGCTTTACATGCTCATACTTTTCATGTTCATACTTTTCAGTTGGCCAACATTTCTAAAAATCCTTTTTTTCTTTTTAATTGGTCGTATGTAATATTCTAGTTTTCTGAGATACTGAATATGGGGGTTTCATTAGTTGTCAGTTATAATCATCAACATTAAAATAAAGAAACATTTGAAATATATCAGTATATGTGTAATAAATTAACATAATATACAAGTTGCACTTTTTGAATGGAATTACTGAAATAAATCAACTTTTTCATGATATTCTAAATTTTATGACCAGCACCTGTAAAAAGATCAAACCATAAACTTGCTTCAGGTCAGACATGCAGGTTTGTCCATGTTTTTTTTTTTTTTTTTTTTTTTTTTTTT